TATGCTAATGGAATTTTTTTCATTTACCACACTTGATGCTCTCTTTTTTTCCTTAACCATTGTAGTTTATTATCAGACAGTTATCCAGAGAAGTTTGGTTTGTTCAGAAAAAAAGACTGTTGAAAAATTATTAAAGAATCAAAACAGCTGAATAAATCTATGTCAAGACAGGAGGAACTCTTACAAATAGGTAGGATAAAAATACACTGTATTAAGCCTTTTCTTGCTTTTATAAGATCTTCTAATTGGCTCCATTTACCCAGGAAAGACAATGTGTTAATTCAGTGCCTTTTCCCTTCTGCAGCGGTGTCAGCAAACCATCAGCCAGAGAAGCCAGGAGTTTGAAATCATCTCCAGAGACCACTCCCTGTAGAAATACCCATCAGGAGGGAATTGCCTCGATGCCAGGGCTGTATCCAGCCTATCTAGCTTTATTAATCTGCTGACAGCCTGCCACTTCTCACTGGCATCACTGAGCAAGCGAGGTAAACTGCAGCCTAATTAATGGCCAGGCTAGAGGCTTTCTTCAAAGACTGACTGAGACAGATGCTGGTCTTGCCCAACAGAAATGCCAACCCAGTTTAAGTGTTCCTGCAACCTTCAAAGTCAGGCAATTTACACAAATTTGGTGTGTTTGATACACTGTGCAAAAGGATGCTCAGGCATCCTAAACACAAACGGTGTCCAACGTGTGTGCCCTTGTGGGTCAGATACCTGCCAAAAGCCAAAGCCTTCAGTAGGATGAGAAGATATTCCTCTCCACCACTGCTTTGAAACAGCTTTAGTTTGTATGAAACACAGACTCATAGGACTGGAAATATCTCCGGCCTTAGGCTGTATCAAAACACGTGTGACAGAGATTTAAATGGACTCGGATGCAAGTCATGTAAGGTCAAGTTTCCATTTAAGAACCATTTGCATTAGCAGTCCTACCACTGTAGTAACACAGGGGAAGAGACACTAATGATATTTAGCACATTAACATGGACAAAAGCTATTTGCTGCATCCTCAGGAATAAACACAGATGAACTCATAACAAAGCTGTGCTTCCAATCCTCCTCACTGTGCAGGGCTCTTACAGAGGTTCACACAAAATGCCTCACTGGGCAGTGAGATCCAAGACATGGTTTGGGTATAGTCTGTCAGTCAGGCTCACCTGACACATGCAATTGTGACTCCTCATGCATTTTGGGGAACGTGCAGTTCATACCTGTCTGAAAGCCATGCCTGCCTGCTCAGCCAGGCACAGGTTCCTCGCTGCAAAATGGTCTCAGCAGAAAATGTTCAGCTCCATGTGTGGGTAACATCAGCTCCCCTGACAGAAGCAGATGGGAGGTCCATGTGCTGCTATGTCAGAAATATCTGTCATTCTCCCATCTTCCCTGTGTCCTGTATCTTAGGTTATCAGGCGTGCTCCTCTCAATGCCAGTCAAAAGGCAGGTGTCAAACACAGAAGGCACGTTCATTTATAACTGCACAGACTATAATTATATGTAGTCTAGGGCTTATTTCCTGAACTAGGAAGGAGGAAAAATGGGTTAGGTGGGTGTGAGTAACAAGCAAGAACATGTCTTTTAGAGGTTATGAAACTACCTTGATCTCCCAGTATCAGAAATGCTGGCTAAGAACAAACAAATCAGAAAACTCTGTGCAGGCTGAGAGTTGGGACAAAAACAAGGGAATTGGGAACTGACAAGGGAATAGTAACAAGTCTCTGATCAAGGCTGGGAACTTAGTATTGCAAGCAAAAATGGAGGAGAAATATGAGGTCACCACTACAGCTTATTTGCAGAAAGATAAGTGCAATCTTGGGATTACCAGGTGAGATATTTCAGTGAGAAATGGGGACTTTAATTTCAGTGTATGAAACATCAGTGAGACCTCCTCCCATTTAATACTCTAACTACTTTTGGTAACCCATATGAACTTTGAGATTGACACCACAGCAGATGGAGGGAAGAGGTCTGAGGTGAACTGAGAGTCATTTAGGAAGGAGATTGAAAAGCCAGTCCTCCACAACTCAGCGAGAAAGGCAGACAAGAACCATCTCCATAAAAATACCTGAGTAAGAAGAAGTGAGCAAAACAGCTACTGAAATGAGAGCCAGTGCTGGTGTCAGAACATGTGGGGAAAGGTTCCTGACCAGCAGGGACATGGACAGCCTAGGAGAACCTCACAGAGGGGTAACAGGCAAAACCAAAAAATTGCTTAAAGTCGGAGCGTGGTCCTTTCATGAAAAGGACCATAAACAACATTATTCCTAGCACAGCAGAAAACTGGGCTCTATGACCCAGGATCCTCCTGTGCTTGTAACTTTAAATTGCCTAAAGGGAATAGAACAGCAGCAAAACAAAGCCTTTGGCCACTTGTTAGTGGAGGCCTGTGGAATATTTTCACAGCAGTTGCAATGCCAGAAGCTCCAGTGTCCTGGCTCAACACTAACACATTTCTCTGCTATTTAAGTCCCCCCCGTGGTTTCACTTAGTAATGCTACTCTTTGCTCCCTGTCCAAAAATTGTGGAACAATGATGCCTTTTTGAGCTTAAAAATGTTTTCTATTTACTGAATTGCTCCTCAAAACATAGTATAATTCACTCTAGGGTGTAACTGTGTTGCATTTTAACCTGCACAGAAATAGCATGTGCAAGTGTGGAGAGAGGATGGGAGAAAAAATAGCAATACAAAAATATCCTTATGACAACACTGAGCCCAAGTGAGAAATATTACCCTTATTTTGCAGAAGGAATTTTTTGATTCTTTTAATCCATAAACAAAAGGGTTTGAAACATTTCCCATGAAAACACAATAAGAAGGTGTGGTTTGGGGCTTTGCCATCAGCTGTAGCTTTTAACCAGTCTCTGGAAATTTGGTCTTGAATCTTTTTTATGAGCCTTTCAATGAAGTCTAAAGTTGAATTCTGGCTTTTCATCAAGATCAGAGAAAATTAATGACCCTGGCCTAAGGACCCTAATTTGCAGGCTTGGAGTTTGGAACAGTATGAATTTCCCTGGGTGTGTGTGTTGGTGACTGTTAACCTGCACTACCAGTATTGCAACAGTGCCTGGATCCTCCCAAACAAGAATCATGACATGTCCTACCCCAGATCTGTATCTATGGATGGCAGATATTACAAAGAACAAGGAATTGTTATTGTTATTATTATTATTATTATTAAATTCTTGTAACAATCACCAGACAGCTGAGCTACTCCCACAGCTGCATTAGGTATCATGACTAAAATATGCAACACTTTTCTTATTTCATCTTCTATGAGAAAAGTGGACTGTCATATTTCAACAGACAATTTTAAGCACATATTTCTCAGTAAGCATGTTGGAAAAATGTGCCTTGCTATTCCAGATTTGCCTATATTCAGTATTGCAGCCAAGTTATACAGACACCTAAAGTAGCTCCAGACAAGATGAGGTCCTGGAGCAGTGCAGGTCGCATGGAGCAAAATATGCACCAATCTGCCCTTAGAGTGGGGTAAATTAGTCTTCACAGAGCTCTGCCTTAAAAAGTTGCTTTAATATTTGGATGGAATTGGGTTAGAGATGGCTTGAGTAGAGCTGATTCTAAGCACAAGCCAAGTAGGCAGATTTTCAAGGGCATTCACCACCAGGACACAGAAGCTGCTGAGATAAGAAACTTTCTGCCTAATTTTGCTGTGCCAGAACCCTGGGAAGGGAAGGAGAGAGAGGTACAGGAGGAAGAGTTTTCCTGCTGGAGCTGCAAGAACAGCACTGGCTTCCCACCACGGCTCCTTCCCAGGCAGCGGCACAGCCAGGCTGCAGCTCCTGTTCCTCGGGGTGGGGGAGAGCTTTGGGAGTGCCCACCTTGGAGAGGTGGTGGGACTGCTGAGGGCAGGGACCCCCTTTCACGGCCTTGCAGAGGGATGGGGAGATAGTTGCTATCAATGGCTCTGATGCCTTGGCCAGACCCTGCACCCCAGGACAGGTTTATTGCAGAGGGGCTTCATGGGATGGGGTGAAATTTGGTCTCCTAGATATCCTGGAATCACCTTCTGAGGATAACAACGGAGGTGTTGAACTCAGTCCAGGTGTTGTAGCCAACAGTGCTAAGAAGCGCTGCAGCACTATGAGCAGACAGGAGTTTCCTTAGCACTACAGGCTTTGTGTCCAGCCATTTCTCTCTGCTGTCAGCCTGCCAAGATGTGATAAAAGTACCAATAAGGGCAGGTTACTCACTGCCAGGATGGAAGAGGCTCTAGGCCAACCTGAGAGGACAATGAGCTTTCCTGGGCAAGGGCACTCCTACACTAGGGACTGCACTTAAAATCGCTGGCCACATTCTCCAGGATCAGGTGCTGGCCCAATTCTCTGCAGATTTTTATTCCACTCCTCAGACTCCCTGACATTGCCCTTGCAGTCTGTTTCAGGTGCCTACTCCTCATCCATCAACAATTTCAGCCTCATCAAGGCTGTATCTGTGCCGGGAATAGAGAAGAAACGGTGACACTTCTCTGGGATGAGGCAACATCAGAATGTCCAGGGAGCCCCGGGAGGAGATTACGAGGAAGGAATTCCGGCACACCAGAAAGGAGAACGGGAAACTTCACTTTCCCGGGGGCAGGTGGCCCGCAGAGCGCTCAGGGGCTGCGGCAGCGGCAGGGCTGTGTCCGCCAGCCCAGCCACAAAGTGCCCAGAACGTGTCCAAGGGCTCCGGGCCGGCTCCACGGGCTCCGGGCGCCTCCGGGCCCCCGGCACCGCCGCCGGCAGGACGGCTCCGGCCAGGAGAGGGAGCCGTGGCCCCGCGCACCCCGCTCGCACCCCGCCTCCCCGGCCCGACCCGGCAGCTGCGGAGGGACGGAGCTGAGGGCCGGAGCTGTGCCTGCCCCGGCCCCGGCCCCGGCCCCGGCCCCGCTGCCCGCGGTGACCGCGGCGGGACCGCCCCGAGCGCCTGCGGAGCGCGGCCGCGGGGAGAGGGGCGGAGCGGAGCCCGGGGGCGCGGATCGGGCACGACGGCGAGGAGGCAGAAGAGGAGGCAGAAGAGGAGGAAGAGGAGGAGGAAGAGGAGAGCGCGTTGCGCCGGGCACAGCTGTGCGCTCCCCGCGCCCTCAGGTGAGCCGCGCTGCCCGGGGGTGCGCGGGGGATGCCCGTGTTCCTGTAGGCGGGGGCGTGGGCAGGGACAAGGGACAAGGGAGCCTGTCCCGCCCCGCCCCGGCCGTGAACTTCCCCGCACGCGAAGGGAAAGTTTGTGTCGGAGGAGGCGGATTCCAGCCCCGGCGCGGGGGGAGCCGGGCGGCGGCGGCGCGCAGCCGGCAGCGGCCCCCGCTCCTCGGCTGGCACGGGGGGATAGGGAAGAAAGAGGAGGAAGCGCTCGGCAGAGCCCGAGGAGCAGCGCACGGCGGCACGAGGGAGGGAGGACAGGTGGGCACGGTGGGAGCGAGCCTGCGGGGCCGGGGATGGGGAGAGGGGGTGGGCGATGGCGCCGGTGCCACCGCGGGGCCGGGGACCCTCGGGGGACCCTCGGTGCGCAGGGACCCAGCCGAGCTGCGGGACCGCGGATTCGTCTCCGCCGCTCCTGCAGCCGGGCTGGCGGTGCCCCCGGTCCCCGACATGCGGAGGGATTTGCTTTAATTCGCTCCCCTGTGCCGTGGAGATCTGGGTGTTCCTGGCTGGAGCGCTGCACGCGCTGAGAAATGCAACTTTAATTTTCATCCGGATTGCAAATTCTTGAGCCTCTGATACCTGCTCTCTGCTGTCAAACGGGTCTCTGAATGGAAGTGCGGAGAGGAAGGGGTCAGGCTTAAGCCGTAGCAGGGAAATAAAGTGGAATAGACGTGTCCAAGAACACAGACTGGAAGCGATTAGATGCTGGCAGCAAGATGGCCTTTGCTGTGTTTGTTGGGGGCAGATGCCCCCTTATGTGAAGCAGGTAGTTTTTTGGTTTTATATTTTTTGGTGTGTGGGGGGGGGTGTGTCTGGAGGGAAACTGGATGGTTTCCTAAAAAGGAAGGGGGAAAAGGAAACCATCAGTGCTTCACTACTTTTCTGTGCCAATGTCACTTTCCCCTCTTACAGTGGCCGTGCTTGTTCCTCACTCTGGGCTGGTTTCTTGCAGTGTGCCTGTACAGTGCTTGGCACAACAGAATCCTGGTCTTGGGGCCTTAGGATGTCACAGTAAACTGGATTATAAATGCCCTCTCACATGCACACTCTCTCTTTTCATCCTGACCTCTGCTTTGTGAATAGCTGGTTATAGTGCTTGGATAAAATTCTGGTTGGCTTTACAGATCTTTCTTTTATTATAAAATGATGGATTTTGTTCCATGCATTCAGTTTTTTGTCCTAGGAAAGGCTTTTCATTTCTGGATTTGTGAGATTGCAGCAAGCTCCTTGTATTATAAAAACACTTATTTGCTTCGTAATTAAAAAGTATTCTTTTCCTGACACTCCATTTTTAACTGTGCCCCTCTCGGGCAAGCAGAAGTGTCACCCAACATACGCTTCCATACCTAGAAGAATTGTGAGGTGTTATTTATTAACTGTACTGTGGAGAGTCCATATCTCATAACTTAGAGGGTCATTTATAACAGGTTGCTTTTGGCAGCTCTGGAAGATTTACTTGCTGTCTTGTATTCCTTGCAGGAAAGGCATCCCTTGTTTTCATGGAGAGCATCACTCCAGCCCACAGGCTCTCGGGTGGGCAGGCTTGGTGCTGGAAAGGCTCCTGCTTTCTGTCTCCATTGCCTGCCTGTGGTGAGCAGGAGAGGGCAAGCAGAGAGGATTAAACTCTAAAACCCAGATATTCTTCCCTGGAAGTAGGCACGGTGTTGTTGCTGGGATCACCTTGTCTGGAGGAGCAGCTAAGGATGGAGGATAATGGGGGACATGGAGAGTCAGCCTGAGAGGACTTGGGCTGGTGGAAGCCTGCAGGGCACTGCAGTGACTGGGAAATGTTGAGCTGGGAAGGTGGGAGCTGCTGCATGGAGCTGGAGGAAGGGGCTGTGGGGTGAGAGGTTGTGTTTCTAACTCCTTGCCTCTGTGCAAGGCAGAGGGCAGGGCTGCATCCACACAGCCCTGGGATAGCTTTCCATGTCTCTGCTTCTAGCTTGAGTTCAAAGTGTCTGCATTTGGTATGATGCTTGCTGATGTCTGTCCGTGCCTCCCCAGAGTCCAGAAGGTCCCCTGGTCCCTCCGTGGTGTGGAAGGAAAGGTTGTATATGAACATTCTGGGCCCTCCCTTTCCAGACCCCGTTGGTCTGTGCAGGTATCCTGCATTTGAGCAGGAGCAGTGGGGATGAGTACTGCCCTGCTCTGGGCTCCAGCAGCCTCATCCCCAGGGTCAGGTAGCACTACCCAAAAACACCTGGCACCACAAAGCACACACAGATAAGAGACTTAAGAGGGTAGTGGGAGTGCTGTAGCAGCCTGGATACTTGGAGGTGTGGGAAATGCCTCCCTGCTGGCCTCAGAGCTGTAATTTTAAGCTCTAAAATAAGCATTCAGGAAGAATGAGGCAGAAAGATTTTGTCCTAGCCTTATTCCTTCAAGACCTGAATGAACCAGATGCCAGCTCTAGGGAGGAAGAATTATATTCCTTCAGAATAAGAGTCCAAAATTTCAGTTTTTATTCCTTCTTCTCACTTCTGTTTGGATTTCTCTGTTGATTATTTTGGCAGGCACATGAGTCATATTTCTTTCCCTGTGTGTCCTGGGTCCCCTCTCTTGTCAAGTGTCCTCCCATTTCAGCAAGACTCTGACTTGCAAAAACTTGCCATAAAGCCCTTGTGACTGGTGGTGTGGGAGAGGAGGTGCCAGCCTGGCTCTCAGAGCGCAGGTTGCATTAGCCAGGTGGACACTTAGGAAGATTGTATCAGCATGTGAATGCATTCGTGTCTTTTTTTTTTTTTTTTCCCTTATCATACAGTAATGGGGCGTGCTTTGGGAATAAAAATAGAAATAGGGAAAAGCCTATATAAGCTGAAATCTGTGAACAGCGCCACGTTATCTGGGAACTAAAACACGTTCTACAGTACAGCTCTGCTCTCCTCCTTCCTCCCCTCTCTTTCTCTTGACACAGCTCATGGATTTCAGTGCCCCTTGAGCAGAGCCTGTGTCCTGTGTGCTGCTGCAGCCTGGCTGGTGGCAGCTCTGTACCTGGAGGTGAGCTGGAGCATCTCTGGCTGGGCAAAGTGGGACAGCTGCAAAGGCAGAAGGAGGCAGAGCTGGCTCAGGTGTGCCACCTTCTCCACACCCTGCAGGAGGCTCAGGGGCCATGTGCAGGTGGGGCTCTGCCATCCATGGTTTGTAGCTGCTTTGTTCTGCTCCACCATCAGCAAAACCTGCAGCTGAGATTCCCTGCTAAACTGGAACAAAGCAGCTTCTTCTGTTGGGAGGTATTTTAGGATGTCTCCCCCCCACAGCAGTGCTTTTGCCGGGCAGAGGGCTAATCTGACATTTCTCAGCCACAGTGCTGGTCTGTGTGAGGCTTTTGCACATGCCTGAGCCAGATGAGCTCAGAGAGAGGGCAGGAGGGGAACTGATTTGGGGAAATTGCTTCCATGGTGCCTGCCCTTTAGGGAATTTTGCTCTTGGCCACTGTGTTTACTGTGTTCAGCCTCAGAAGACCCAATAAGATGCATGCACAGAACATGAACTTCATAATTTTGAAGTCTGATTTTACAGAAAGTAAAATACAGGAAAATGAGTGTACAAGTGTCTATTTTGTTACAGGGTTCTCTAAAAATAGTTGCTTGTAAAACAGTATTTTCACTACAAGTGAAGAATCGTGTCTTTAGTCAGTCCTTTGTTAACCTAACAACTCTGAGTTTCATCAAATGGAAATATATCCCCAGGAATTCCTCTGACAAAGGTTTCCCCTGTGTCTGGATGATTATCCAATTACAATTTAAAGAAAATTACAGCAAGGATAATTGGCTAAAGATAGAAGTATCTGAGTGTGTTAGGGAAAGAGAAGGAGAGAGTGAGAAAGTGAGAGCTTCACTTTCTCATATGAGTAAATGAGAATTATTTCAGTCCTTAACTTTTGCAGTGAGTGGATTCAAGGTCCCTGGTGTTTGGATCTCCCCCCTCTTCTCTCCCTCCCTCTACTCTGTCTTCTTATGTGTTGACTTGATATTTAGATGAAAAAGTTACATTGATTCTCATGGAGTCTTTTTACATTTACATGTGTTAACAAAAAGAGACTGTTAACTTAAACGCTCTATTTGCAGCAGAGAATAAGACATTTCCATGAGTCCTGGGCTCAGCCAGGGAAGTGGTGGGTGGCTCCTTCTCCTGGGAACACTGGGAAGGTGCCAGAGAGCCATTAGCTTGGAAATCCCACTCAGAGCAGGGCCATCAGGAGCTCCCAGCTCTCCCTGGGTGCCCCCAGAGGGAGAGCCGCTGCCCCCCCTGCCTGGCAGGAGCCCTGCGTGCCCCAGCGCTGCATCCCATGCGTGCCCATCACTGAGAGCCCCGAGCTGCCAGGGCAGGGTTTCCAGTTGGTTCAGAAGCATTTGAGGCTGCCTTCAAGCCCACTCACTCTTTTTCATTGCTGACAGCCTTGTTTGGGCAAGGCTGGGCAAGCTGTGCTGTTTAACCCTTGCAGCGCCGGCTGTGGCCGGGGTCGGGGTGCAGGTGGGAGCTCCGTGGTGCAGCCTGGCAGTGCCAGGTCAGAGCATGGAGCTGGGCTCCCCATGCAGCTCCCTGGACAGCTTTGCTGTGCTGCAGCTGGAACACGGAGATACAACATGAATCATTCACTTACACAAACACTTAAGGAGCATCTTCAGCTTTACTAAGCCAAGGTGTTATCAGAATTAGAAGAAGGCTTTAAAAAAAAAGTAAAGGAAAAAGAGTAGGTTTTAATACCTCTCCCTTTATCTGGGAAAGCTGCTGGGTTTGCTTGGTTGTTTGTTTGTTTTCCCCGCAGTTTTCTTTAATCCCTTGCATTACTGAAATAAAAGTGTAGCGGAGTGTCTTGCCTCTCTTAGGCCTGATGCTGTTTATTTAGAGGGATGTGAGATTTTTCCAGTGTTCTGAGGAAGATTCTTAGGTATTTGATCAATTTGTGTGTAAAGGCTTGCAAGACTGTGACTTAAATGTTTACCCTT